AAATTTCAAATATTATTAAATTTTATTTATGAAATAATTAATTTAAAATATATTTTTATTAATTAAATATAATAATGTCACAATTCTATACAATTTAATTATAAATTATCAAATTAATTGGTCCCAAATCAAAAAATTTATAGGTCACAAATTATTTTACAATCACAAATCAAAAATTTTATAGTTCACAATTTATTTATTTGTCACAAATCAAAAAAATATATAGATTTATTTATCAATCACAAATAACAAATTTTATAAGTCACAATTAAATTTTTAGGTCACATAATATTTGTTAGTCATAAGTTATCGGTCACAAGCTATTTATCAATCACAAAACAATCAATTTATTGGTCACAAACACTATTAATCCCACCAACTGTATCGCCCAACTCTAATCCGCTGTGACACTAACCGAAAGCGGTGCTACCTCACAACCATTGCTAGCGCCGCCCCCACCACTACCACTAGCGTTGCCAACAAACTACCATTGTCAATTTCAAAACACCACTGACATCGACAAATCCACCACCATCACGAAATGACAAACCCACCATCATCGCACCGCACCACCGTCGTAATCGCGCGAAGCATCGGCCACCATAAATCGTCGAAGAAACACCACAAATCGGACGTGCGACGATCTGTGACCAACTTAGATGCAAAGTGCAATACCCTGGTACAAATTGTGGTAGAGACGCTTCGTAGTTGTTGCGCCTTTGCGCACAGAAGCTCCGATGGGGTGTGTATCGCGGCGAGGCATGGTACTATAGCGCAGCAGCTACGCCTCCGCGTGCAGAGGCTCTGATCTCCTCTTCATTACAACGCCACCTCGTTGCTTCTTAAGCGATGACGACGCGTGGTGTCTTGGGGGAGAGATCTTAAGGTTTGGGGTTGGGCGAGTATGGTTGTTAGTTGTGTGTAGGTTTTTATTTATTTTTTAAAATTAAAAAATATATATTTATAAGCTGATTTTTGGAAAAGAAAAATAGTTATTAGTTGGGGGTAGGTTTTTATTTATTTTTTTAAATTAAAAAAATATATTTATAAACTGATTTTTGGAAAAGAAAAAGAGTTATTAGTTGGGGGTCGGTTTTTATTTATTTTTTTGAAGTTGAAAATTAAAATGTAGATGTGGACGTAATTTCCACTAAAATTATTTAGTGACGAGGCAGCTCTATCTTTGACTCTATGATACAATTTTTTTTTTTGGATACACGGTTCAATGGAATATCAAGTTGTAGAAATAGGGGACAATAGTTTGTAAAGTTCTACGTGTTGGGAATTTACTTAATCA